CATGGGATGCCTGTCTTTCCATTCCTGTGATACTTTTCCCAGGAGAACGTTCTCCAAATCCATCCAAGTTGTAACAAAGGATACAAAATCTCCACCTTCTTTATGGCTGGATAGTGCTCGGGGGCATACACATACCACAGTTCATTAGTCCATTCCTATGTCTAGGGCATTTTGGTTGTTTCTGCCTCTTTGCAGTGGTAACACTGGTTCACCATATGCGAACTCATAAACATAATTCCCGCATAAACAGAAGTAAAAACAAAAACCATATGATCCTCTCAGTAGATGCAGAAAAGCTTTTGACAAGCTTCAGCATCCTTTTTTGATAAAAATACTTCAGAAAATAGGCACAGATGGGACATTGCTGAAACTGATAGAAGCCATTTACAACAAACCCACAGCCAATATCATACTGAATGGAGTAAAATTGAAAGCATTTCCGCTTAGAACTGTAGCTAGACAAAGATGCTCACTATCGCCATCAGTATTCAACAGTTCTAGAAGTCCTAGCCAGGCAAGAGATACCCATATCATGGGTATTCAAATGGGGAAAGAGGAGGTCAAAATGAGCACTGCATTGAGGTGTGTTGAGAGAGAAGAAAGGCTTTGAGTTGTAGTTGCTGTGTGGCATTGGGAGAGTAGCATTCTCTCTGCCTACAGATCTGTACAGTCCAACCACAAATAAGTTATCCAGGCTATAGGATGGAGTCAATTTAATTATGCTTAGTCTTAAGATTACTATTTTCAGCTAAGTATGGGGTCTCATACCTGTAATCTTAGCACTCTGGGGGGCTGAGACAGAAGGATCCCTTGAGCTCAGGAGTTTGAGACCAGCCTGAGAAGAGCAAGTCCCTCTCTGTACTATAATAAAAGGAGAAGAATTAGCCAAGTGCAGTGGTGTATGCCTGTGGTTCCAGCTACTAGGGAGGCTCAGGCAGGTGAATTGCTCTAGGAGTTTGAGGTCGTAGTGAGCTATGATGATGGCACTGTAATGTAGCATGTGCAACAATGTGAGAGTCTCATTCCAAAAAAGATTACTCTTCATTTTCTGCCATATGGAAGAAAATGGCATATATATTTTATTTTTGTATTTACTTTGTAGACAATACATTTTAAAAACTGTAGTCTAAATCCAAAGAAATATTGAAGTACAGTCATTTTTCCTGTGTTAATTTAACAAAGTAATTTTCCCATAAGATAGGCTTATGAGAGAAAACCAACCACCTATCCCCACAGAAAATAATAAAATTCAAGTGGATGGTTGTGTCAGTGGCAGTGAATTATTCAAGGTTGTTTATGTCAGAGCCTTTGTTCTCTGTTGATGGGCGGGGGGAATCCAGGGATAAAGATTTTCTAGAGCTTTGCAGCTTGTCAACACTAAGAGGACAGTTCAAATAGGGTCTATGGCGTCTCATTTCCTAATCCCATCCATAAAACGCTAAAATATTGTACGTAAGGACTTAGTTTCTTTAGGTAAGAGACTACTACAGTGTCGGGGAAAGCATGTTGTGGCATACTAGGGCAATAATAATAGGAACATATTTTGTAATGCTGTGTGTTGCTTTTCATTTGATCCCTACAATTTGGGGGTATAGTTAGGATTCTCTCAGTTTAGTGGTAAAAGAAACTGAGGTGCACAGAGAATTTTGCCCATTCGGTGGTAGAGATGGTATTTAAAACAAGGTTCTCTGTGGTTCAAAGGCGCATCTTCTTAGTTCATGCAATAGGCGTGTGTGGGGTTTTGGGAGATGTATGTATATGTTTTTCTTTTCCCTGGGTCATCAGAATGAGATGTTCCTTTACCATGTCAAACTAGCCGCTCACTCTTCAGAAGAGAGAAGTTTCTCTCTAGGGCTTTGTTGCAGTTCGGAGATTCCTGTGAAACGGGGAGACTTCCGAACAGCAAGACTTGGCTGTCAAGTCTTTTGACTTCTGATGAGTGTGAGTGTGGGAGAGGTGGTGCTGGGAGAGCCGTGAAGGGACCCTGTAAGGATGAGTTAGTAAGAGAGGGGTTTTATACCTGAATCCGTTTATTGCTCTTAATGCATAGTTCTGTTGGCTTAATAAAAAAGTAGGTAGAGAGGGCTGGGCACCGTGGCTCCCACCTATAATCCCCACACTTTGAGAAGCTGAGGCAGGAGGATTCCTTGAGCCCAGGAGTCTGAGGTGGCCCTGAGCTATGATGGCACCAACACAGTCTAGCGATATCTCTAAATAAATTAATTAAAAGTAGAGAGAAGTATTAGATGCGTCTGTGGGTTTACTTTGCAGCCAAACCCATAATAATTATTTGCTATACAAATTGTTTGATATATTCTATTTTGCCTTAGTAATGTTCAAAGGAATTGTTATAAATCTACATTACAAAAGTATGGTCACAAGTGTGAGTCAAAAACAGGTCCCACCATGAAGGCATTAAGTGACCTCTTGACCTCTTTTCTTTCTTTTTTTCTTTTTTTTATTAATTAATTTTTATTAAATCACAACTTTGTATGTTTCTTTCTTGTTTTCCTCCTTTCTTCTTTCTCTACCTTTCTGTTTTTAAAGAAGCTGTTTCATTGCTTTGTTAAATGGCCGTTCATCATTTCTCACTGGCATCCCTACATCCTAACATCCCACTCACGGTCCTCACAGCTCAGATTCCCTGAGGCTCTTAACTCTGGAGTTCTGTTTTGTTTGCCCTGTATTCATTTTGGTTTTCAAATTAACCTCTTCCCTTCTGGTTATAAGCATAGAGTGGATGCTTTGCTCCTTTTGATTTATTGAAACTGTTTAAACTAGCAATTATTCTAATGTAGTCCTGGAGAACATTAAAAGTCTATGTACTTTGTTATATATTCTTAGCTATAGTCATAACATCAGGAGCAGAGTATTTGTCTTTCTTTTCTGAGCTCTGATGTAGTTCATCTGTTCCCTTCTTTAATGGTTTTCTGTGCATGTCTTTATGTGCCCATTAGATCCTAGACTCCTGTTGTCTACCTGCAATGAATCCACACCCACAGCGTCTCCCTAGCACTTCTTATAGTGTCTCAGGGAATTTTTTTTTTTTTGAAACAGAGTCTTACTCTGTCACCCTGGGTTGAGTGCTGTGGCTTCATCATACCTCCCAGCAACCTCAAACTCTTGGGCTTAAGTGATCCTTTTGCTTTAGCCTCCTGAGTAGCTGGGACTACAGGTGCCCACCACAAAGCCTGGCTAGTTTTTCTATTTTTAGTAGAGATGGAGTCTCACTCTTGCCCAGGCTGCTCTTGAACTCCTGATCTCAAGCCATTCACCCTCCTTGATCTCCCAGACTATTAGGATGACCGGCTTCAGTGAATCTTTTGGGATGAATAAATAATATTTATTTCAGGTGTAATTTTAAAGAGCAAGTGCAAATCTGTAGTTTCACTATTCTCTGTTGTAGTCTCACGCAGTGACTATTCTAAATGAACATGAACCTTGGAGTTAGGGAGAAAATTCATTAACCTAGTGAAGGGGCTGTTTAGTGTTCCTTTTGCTGTCAGACTGTATGTACAGTGGCACTTGGAAAATAAATTAGTTGTAGGAGGGGACGTTTTGCTTAGTTTTATCTCTGTGACTCTTTATTCCGAAGTATCAGTGCTGGTACAGGCTTGGGTTTTGGAACATTCTCTCTGGGCTTTGCCTATTTTATAAGCTGCTGTTCATTAAAACCCCATCTGTGTTGAAGGTCTGTTCTGCCAAATTTCCTGCAGAACTCACAGCATGCCCCGCACCATTATCACCCACTGAATTGTTGAGTAACATATCCTGACTTGAGGCCAGTGTTTTTCAAACCTTGGTGAGGATCAGAATCTCCTGGGAGCTTGTTAAAAGTATGGATGGCACACATCTGAATATTATGAATCTGTAGCTTCAGGGTGGGGCCTGGATATCTGCAGGGATAACGCTTTCTGGTGGTCCTGGAACCGCTTTTGGAGAAACACTGATGTTGAGTGAAAAGTTCACTTTGCATGGAATTCTATGATGATGCTTCTAAAAATCGTGGGGCATCCAAAGGTATAAAAACTGTGATATTGGCATGTTTATGGTATCTTTGACATTGCAGAATTAGTAATAATTTATGTGGCTTTGCAGATGGAATTTTATGTAGTACTTTCTTTGCTGTAGTTGTATTAGTCTGTATATTAATATGGCACTTAAAATACGATCTTTGTTTATCAAAACCCCCACTTATCAGGAGTAAGATGAAACAAAACTCAAGTTGTAATTTTTTTTCTTGCTATTAATTTCTCTAGACACAACATTTTCTTCTACTTTATAACACATTTTATGCATCCTTTTTTAGAGAAAATTTTTGGTACATTTAGAAGATACAGTCTAATGCAGCGGTTCTTAACCTGTGGGTCGCGACCCACAGGAACCGTATTAAAGGGCTGCGGCATTAGGAAGGTTGAGAACCACTGGTCTAATGTGTCTGTTGGTCTGTATTTGATAGTGCTAGTTTTGATCTTAAGGCCAGAGAGAGTGCTGCATTGTTTAATCAACAGAAAGACTTTAAGGATTAATTTCAGTATCAAATGTTTTTATTAACACTGATTCCCTGAAAATCAAAATGAACTGATAATACACAGAAACTTAATGCAAACTGTCATTTATTCTAGTTAAATGAATGAATGACACATTCCAGTGAGGTCTTTATTATAATTTACATGCATTATTATAATTTCTATGCATTAATAGCCAAGATAGGGCCCTCCTTATACTTTGTTTTTTTTTTTTTTTTTTGGAAAAAACTTTACAAATGCATTATTATAATTTCTATGCATTAATAGCCAAGATAGGGCCCTCCTTATACTTTTTTTTTTTTTTTTTTTGGAAAAAACTTTACAAATGCTTTTCTTATAAGATGGATCTAGAATTATTTAGATACATTGAAAGATTGGGAATTAGGAGAAGTACTGTGGAACTTGACCTATCAATTTGTAGCTGATCAGAATTCCTTAATGCCTTAACATTTTCTTTTCTTATTTTTCTAGGGACTTTCTCCCTCGAGGGTCGGGCATTGTAACAAGACGACCTCTTGTGCTGCAGCTTGTTACTTCCAAAGCAGGTAATGAGGGAGGATGCTGACTGCACAGATGAGACCATCCCACGGCACCTGTCTCCTCTCTGCCTTGTTATCGGGTTGTACCAACAGGAATGTTTTTGTGATCTCTCGGGTGTGGGCAGCTGCCTACATTTCTCTCCAGAATATTCCCTACTTCATTGCTCTTTTAGTTCTTTTGATTACATTAGCAAATCACATCTGCATATAGTTTTCAAAAACAACTATTATTTTGTATGCCCATGAAATCTTTGCTCTCTGTAGTCCTTCTAGATGATTTTGTGGAACAGCATACGCACTAATACTCCTTTGGTATATTTCCTTCCTATATATGTGTGTGTGGGTGTGTGTTTGCGTGCATGTGCATGTGCTTGGAGTTTTTTTCTTTTTTTTCAGAGACAGGGTCTCACTAAGTCGCCCTCAGTAGAGTACTGTAGCATCACAGCTCACAGCAACCTCAAATTCTTTGGCTCAGGCAATTCTCTTGCTTCAGCCTCCTAAGTACAGGAGCCTGCCACAGTGCCAGGCTATTTTTTTGTTGCAGTTGTCATTGTTGTTTAGCAGGCCCGGGCCAGGCTCAAACCCTCCAGCCTCGGTGTATGTGGCTGGCGCCCTACTCACTGAGCTACAGGCGCCGAGCTGTGCTCTGGGATTTTTAAAGTCAAAAATCTAACAGTCATCTAGTATCTGTATGTATGTGTGTGTGTGTGCGCCTGTGTATCTAATTTATATTTATAGCTAATGTCTGTGCTTGTCTCTCTCTGGAACACCATACTCATTTGCTAGGCAAAGGATGCTTTGTTTTCATTTTATTTCAGTGACTAGTTAAGCTCTTTACTATGTTTATTTGCCATTGTATTTCTTTTGTCTTTTTTTTGGCTGGGGCGGGTTTGAACCTGCCACCTCTGGTATGTGGGGCTGCCGCCCTACTCCTTTGAGCCACAGGCGCCGCCTGCCACTTGTATTTCTTTTATGAATTGTCCGCTTTTATGTTTTCCCATTTCTTTAGGGGGGGACTTTACTATGTTTTTCTATTTTTCAGTTTCTTTGCTTTACAGTTAAGCACTCATAACATTCATGCTTCATGAATTGCAAATATTTTTCACAACTTTTTTGAGATACAGATTATATACCATATAATTCAGCCAAGTAAAGTTTGCAATTCCACAGATTTAGTCTTTTCACGATCAGCTTTAGAACTTTTTCCTCACTCTCCAAAGAAGCCCTATGCGGTTTCACTCTCCCGTAGGCACTAATAACCTATATCCTGTCCCTACAGAGGTCCTTATTCTGGACATTTCATACGCATAGACTTATATAATATGTGGTCTCTTGTAATTGGCTCTTTTCACTTAACAGTGTTTTCAAGGTTCATTCATACTGTAGCTTGTGTTAGAACTTCATTTCTTTTTCTTTCTTTCTTTTTTTTTTTTTTTGAGACAGAATCTTACTATGTCGCCCTCAGTAGAGTGCATCACAGCTCACAGCAGCCTCAAACTCTTGGGCTTAAGTGATTCTCTTGCCTCAGCCTCCCAAGTAGCTGGTTGTCGTTGTCATTGTTGTTTGGCAGGCTTAGGCTGAGTTTGAACTCACCAGCTCTGGTGCGTGTGGCTGATGTCCTAGCTGCTGAGCTATAGGCGCCGAGCCAGAACTTCATTTCTTTTATGGCTCAGTAATACTCCATTGTCTGGATAGATCACGTTTTGTTTATCCACCCATCAACTGAGGGGCACTTGGGTTGTTTCTACCCTTTAGTTATTATGAATAATTTTGCTGTAAAGATTCATACACATATGTTTTTGTGTGTGGACATGTGTTTTAATTTCTCTTGGAAATATATGCTAGAGTGTAATGGCTGAACCATATAGTAGCTCTATGTTTAATAGAACTCTATGTTCAAGGAACTAATAGACTGTTTGTCAAAGTAGTTGTATCATTTTACATTGCTACCTGCAGTGTATGAGGGTTCTAATATTTCTACGTTCTCCCCAACACTCTTCATGGGTATGAAGAGGTGTATTTCATTGTAGTTTTGACTTGAGTTTTTTTAATGACTAATGATATTGAACATCTTTTCATGTGCTTAATGATCATTAGTATATCTTTTTTAGATAAATATCTATTCATCTCCTTTGCCCATTAAAAATTACATATTTTGGCTGGGCGCAGTGGCCTATGCCGGTAAATCCCAGCACTTGGGGAGGCTTGAGGCGAGTGGATTGTCTGAGCCGGTGGGTTTGAGACCAGCCTGAGCAAGAGTGAGACCCCATCTCTCAAAATAGTTGGGGGCACCTGTAGCTCAGCAGCTAGGGCACCAACCACATATTCTGGGACTTACAGGTTTGAGCCTGGCCTGGGCCTACCCAAACAACAATGGCAACTACAACAAAAAAATAGCTGGGTGTTGTGATAGATGCCTATGGTCCCAGCTACTTGGGAGGCTAAGGCAAGAGAATCTCTTAAGCCCAAGAGTTTGAGGTTGCTGTGAGCTGTGATGCCATGGCACTCTGCCAAGGGTGACACAGTGAGACTCTGTCTCAAAAATAAATAAATAAATAAATAAATAAATAAATAAAGTAGCTGGGCATTGTGGTGGGCGCCTGTAGTCTCAGCTACTTGGGAGGCTAAGGCAAGAGAATCGCTTAAGTCCAAGAGTTTGAGGTTGATGTGAGCTATGATACCACTCTACCGAGGGTGACAAATTGAGACTTTGTCAACAATAACCAAAAAATCATTTTTTGCTTTTTTTATTATTAATTGTAAGAGATTTTTATGTATTCGATATAAATCCCATTTTAGATATATAATTTGCTATTTTTTCCCATTCTATAGGCTATATTTTTACTTTTTTGGTGGTGCCCTTTTTTTTTTTTTTTTTTTTTTTTTTTTTTATTGAATGGTAACTGTGTACATTGATGCACTTTGGGGGTACAGTGTGGTGTTTTCATACATAATCCAAGACACTTCCATCAAACTGGTTAACATAGCCTTCATGTAACTTTCTTAGTTATTATGTCAAAACATTCATATTCTACTCATATAAAGATTCACTTGTACCCTTGCAAGATGAACCACAGAAGTGAACCCTCGAATCCCTCTCCCTCCCGGTGGTGCCCTTTGAAGCACAAAAGTTTTTAATTATGATGAAGTCTAATTTACCTACTTTTTCTTTCATTTCTGATGATTTTGGTGTTACATCTAAGGATCTTTTGCCAAAACCAGGGTTATGAAGTTTTATTTTATGCTTTTTTGCTAAGAGATTTATAGTTTGCTCTTAGGTTGAGGTCCTTGATAGAGTTAATTTTTTAATGAGATAAATGTTTAACTTTATTTTCTGCATGTGGATATCCAGTAGTCCCACACCATTTGTTGAAAAGTCTATTCTTTCCCCATTGTATGATCTAGGCATCTTTGTTAAAAAATCTGTTGACCATAAATATATGAGTTTATTTTTGGATCCTCAATTCTGTTCAGTGGTCTATACATCTATACTTGTGCCTGTATCACACTATCTTAATTACCCTTGCTTTGTAATAAGTTTTAAAATTGAGAGTCTTTCCACTTTGTTCTTTTTTAAGATTGTTTTTGGCTATCCTAGGTCCCTTGAAATTCTATATTTAGAGCTTGTTTTATCCCAGGAATGCAAGATTGAGTTAAGATCTGAATATCATTTAATGTAATGCATCATATCAATGGAAATTAAAAAAATCAGAAGATCATTTCAGTAGACTCAGAAAAAGGATTTGACAAAATCCAGTACCCACTCATGTTGAAAACTCCTAAGTTAGTGAACTAAGAATAGAGGGGAACTTTCTCAACCTGATAAAGGCATCTGTGAGAAACACCAGCTAACATGCTTAGTGGTGGAGGACTGCATGCTTTTACCTCTAAGATCAGGAACAATATAGGATGTCCATTCTTGCCACCTGTTCAGTTTTGTACAGGAAGTCTACCCAGGGTGATTGGGGAAAAGAAAGAAAGAAAAGGCATCCATATTGGAAAAGAAGAAGTATAATTATCTCTTTTTGCAGATGATATGATCATATATATAGAAGATTCTAAAGAATCCAGTAAATGACTAATAGAAGGAATAAATGATTTTAGCAAACTAATAAATGATACACAAAAATCAATTTTATCTCTATGCACTTGCAATGAACAATACAAAAAAGAAATTAAGGAAATAATTTTATTTATAATAGCATCAAAAAGAATATACCACTTAGAAATAAATTTAATAAAAGAAATCCAAAATTCATACTTTTAAAAACTATTAATCATTGTTGAAAGAAATTTGAGAAGATCTAAATATTTGGGGAAAAAAATGCCATGTTCATTAATGGGAAGTTTTAACAGTGGTAACACTCCCCCAAATGATCTACAAATTAAATGTAATTCCTGTCAGAATCCCAGCTGACTTCTTTGGAGAAATTGTAGATATTTTTAACCATTTTTTTATTACTATTATAAAATCTGTACTAAGTTTGATTTGAAAGAATGGATTCAAGTGCTATCATTTGAAAAGAATGAATTATTTATAAGTCTAAAATCTTCTAAGCCCTGCCTAAAGATATAGAAGTGACTGGGACAAAAATCTGTGTTCTTCTGGTGATTTATATTTTCATTATATAGATTTTAATATGTAGAAATTTTGTTGTTGGATGAACAGTGTCTGGCTACCTGTCACTGTCAGCCAATATGCAGAGATGGGGATAGGTCCACCAACAGAAGGCCAGTAATTCTGGAGAACTATGAGAGTAGCCTCTCCAAGACTATTCTGTTCTTCCATTTCCAAAATCACAGTTGTATACGTAAAAGTTAAACGCAAGAACCATATTAATCCTTGTCTTAAACAACAATAGTTAACATTTATCTTAAGCAACAGTAATGACCACAACCCATTACCTATAATAAACAATAGTATACATAACCCATGACCCATATAACAAAGTTTCAGTTGAAAAAGTTAATCTCTCCTAAATCAATTACCCTAAACTACTCAAGAT